TGGAATTTTTCACACACAAGCCTTGCTATATGAGCTCTCAAAGCATATAAAAATTATACGGCTTAAATGTGAAGTTGGGTGCAAAAGAATACAATTAAATCCTCTGTCGGGAAAAAACGAAATGACTTTCCGAACAACCCTATATAATATATATTTTTCACTGATGAACAAAACCTGTAAACGTGGCTGGATCTACAATCATGAGGTTTTAATTGTATTTTATTTAATGCGCCTAAATTTAATTTTATGTATGGATCTGATTACGATTGCTGTTCCGAACCAGAGATTATTACTTAATACGGGCCATATCTGCCAAGATGTTTGATATAGGCCGTGTCAGGTGTTTCTAGATATGACCGTACGCCGTACTTCAAAATCCGGAGTACAAGTTTGGGCCATATTTCACCCATACTCTAAATGCTACTCGGGAAGCTACCCTACTCCAAGTCCGTGGGTCACATTGTAGCCCGCGAATGAATTGTAAATGACCCGCGAATCAGTTTCAAAATTCTCGCCAATTTGAAAGAGAAGCTCAATATGGCCACCATAAACTATAAAGTAATACTAAACTATTGGGATCCGTCAAATGGGAGGAGCCTAAAAACATGTCTCCGATTAGGGAAAATTTATCGTAGTTCCTATAGTGTACCGTGCAATTTCCAAGTTTTTAAATTACGATAAAATGATAAGTATTGCCTCGGAAAGGAAATTTCGTTGAAGGTGAGCGTGTTTTTAATGCCAATCACATTATAAAATTCGGAAATAACAAATTCCGTCAAGTTTACTGCCTAATTTTTACAAACTTCGGATTTAAAAAGTGATTCACGTTATATAATTGGTGAGGTGATTCTGGGTGATTTAAGCAATATCATATCANTTTTGAACAAAGAAAACATTTTTGTTATTCGCAGTGTTAAATTTAAAAGAACGTGCCTGCAACAAAGGAACGTTATCATTATAGTATGTAGGTTTTTCCTCGGCAAGTAACGTCCCTTCGCGTTGGCCACCAGATGGGTCGATGGTCTTCCCATTCACAAACAATTTTGTGATTGTAAATTGTAATCACGTAGTCACTAACCATAGCCTAAGGTCAAAAACATCCCACTATCGTACCTCCACCCCTTATATCTTGTTATATTTAAGTATTTTTCTATCTAATAATCATTCAGTTCAATTAATAATCACTTCCTCAGTTCATCAGTAATCGTTAATTAGTAGTATTCATTCGTTGTAGTTTATCATTTATCATTTAAGTATTTTTCGGTGTTAGTTTAAGTGTATGTGTTTATTAAAAACCTAAATATCACGTAAATTATTTATTGCTAGTTCTATCATTCCACGAAGACCACAGGTAGAAATATAGCAAAAGCTGAAAGTCGAATGGTCTAACTCTAACAGTTTACTTCATGGTAGAGACGAAGGCCGTTATTATAGCCCAAGCTCCCATAGCACAAAAATGTACGTTGTAGGATAGGTACCTAAAGCTGAAAACTTAACAATTGTAGAAAAACATACCAAAAAGCAGAAACACGAATCGTCTGGTGGACCATAGATTTCACCTTCCACATATATTATAAACAAGACATTGTTTACATATACTAAATCTTATAAATGTCATCAGCTAAATAATGCACAGTTATGGAAACTTCATAAAATTGCAAAGGTATGAAAAGATTTATGATTCTATAATCTATTTGAAGAAACGAAATCTTTACAATTCTTCATAAATCTTGAGAAGGAACCTGAAAATCCGCTTGTTATTCTGAATTATGTATGTAAATGGAGTGGTATGTGAGACTTTTGCAAATGCTCATGCTTAATTTTACGTTTGTTTTTAAATATAGTAAATTAACACATTTTAAATCGAAACTAATTATTTTGTTGTAATTTACAAATATTGCATTATATGGAAATTAATTTAACCGTAAAACACTGTGTGAGAGCGAGTAAGCAATATCAGTTATTTTCGATAACATGCTTTCCGTTTTCGAATACAGACAAGTAGAGTTGTCATATTTGTTTAAACTATAATCTTTACAGAAAAGTCAAAAAAATGAGTAAATAACTACCGTTAATGTAATCACCAGCCAGACCACTCGTCCCCATGTCATCAAAAATAAACAAAACAAAAACCCCACATCTTCCTTTGGTGTTTACTTAACATCAGAATGGCTACAACTTATTAACTTCCTGCTCATAGGGACGCTTTTGTAATGGATCCGAAAAATCAAAGTCGTAGTCTTCAACATATTTTGCAATTTGAAAGTCACATCAGCATTGCTAAATAATTTGGAAATGAAGTATGAGTAGCTGCCGTTTATATAATCTATGAACTAATAAGTTGTTAATTATTTTTTATTGAAACTATATATTAATACATGTGTTATGCTAATGAACTCTGTTCAGAAACCACAAAAAGAGAAAACTTTCATAATGAGTACATGGAAACTGTAGTTTCATATGTAGGTAATCAAAAGAAATTTTAAACTTATATTGTATATAAGTACTTAATATGTATGTTTATGTTTGCAGATAGTTCATTAAACTTTACATTGTGATTTAACATAAAACGGATAAAATGGACTAGGTATATTTTTGTTTACAACAGCTTACCTATAAAAAAACAAGAGCAGTCAATGCCTTGGCCCCAGCAAGTGATATGGCAGGATGTACCGTATCGGCCTAACCAGACGACAAGGGCTATTCAAAACTGCAACTACTAACATCGCTTATGATGTTAACGCATATTATTTATAGTCAGTCTAACGTTGATGTTCCTCCTGTTGAAAACGGACGGAAATAATTTCATGGAAAAGCTTGTGGTAACCGGCACGCCGTCGCGTCACTGGAGATGTTATTATTTTATTAACACACAAAAATTTGATTGATGGTTGTAATTATTATTGCAAAAACAGCCGGTTCTGTGTGTTCAGTGACCGACCTCCTCGACAAAGGATGGTAACAACAATCAGCAACACACTCTGACGCACTGAACAGTTACCGGCGATCAATGAATGCTTCACAGCGCGGCGCCAACAAACTGCGTACAGCGAACATACTTTTAGTACTTTTATTAGAGCTGCTGTCAAGTACCGTTTCCGAAGAAAACGCAACAATACGTTGCATAATATAAGGGTTATATGGGCTCTGATTATACTCGAATTCCCGTATTAACCATTTATATTTTTACGTTCTATTGCTATTATTATATTAAAAAGTTAAATTCATTATTATTGTTGTTCAATTTAAAAACTTTTAATTTGGAGCACTTCGCAATTATTCTAACCAGTTGGAGGTGCCCTAGGCGGTGTAAATGTGGGGGCGGCAAAAATGTCGTTTCCATTATTAGATAGAATCAGGTGCGCCTCGCAGTAGTGTCAGATTCAAACAAAGAAAACATTTTTACTTTTCGCAGTTTTAAATTTAGAAGAACGTTATCATGATAGTATGTAGGTTTTTCCTCGGCAGGTAACGTCCCTTAGCGTTGATCACCAGATGGGTCGATGTCACTAACCATAGCCTAAGGTCAAAAACTCCCCACTAACGTACCATCACCCCCTATATTTTGTTGTTATATTTAAGCATTTTTCTATCTAAT